CAATATTAAGCAGCACAGCTGTTTTCAACATTGATAATGCCAAGAAATGTTTATTGAGCATCAAATTAGCATATTAGAATGATTTCTGAAGGATCATGTGAGACTGAAGACTAGAGTAATAATGCTTTGCATCACAGGAATAAACTGCATTTTAAAATACATTCAAATAAAACAGTTACTTTACATTGTAATAATATTTCACAATATTAGTTTTTTTTTTTTTACTGTATTTTTGATCAAATAAATGCAGCCTTGGTGAGCATAAGAGACTTTCAAAAACATTAAAAATCCTATGGCCCCAAAATTGTGAATTATAATAATCATATAATAATTATAACTATAATAAAACATTGTTAGCACTTCTCAAACTAGTGCATGTGTGATTTTTGTATGCTTACTGAATAGACATCTCTTGAAGAATTTTCAAAAGTTCTCCAGATATACCACTTCTCTGGCATGATTTACATAATGTCTCAGCACCAATACATGCCCATACTCAAGAGATTTCAGAAATTGTACTAAAAATACACATTCAACAAGGCTTTGGTTAACATTAAGAGGAAACAATTAACAGGAACTTTAAGAACACATCTGTTACTCTCTGTCGTTTTCCTTCTCTCTCTCTCTCTCTCTCTCTCTCTCCATCATATATCTTGCAATCCTCTCTGTCCTCTCTTCTCTTTATGTATAATAAATGAGTGCTGTTCCTGACTGTGGATGCGTTAAATACGTGTGAACAGATATTCTGCACTGCTTCTCCTGTTATGCTCTATTCAGGCACCCAGACAGAAGCCACGTGAGACGCACAAGCCATAAAATATTCCAGAAGAGTATCCCAGGAGTGTTACATGTGCCGCTATTCAGGCCTGACACTCGATGTGTAGTACTACATGTGCTGTTCCCGCAAGATGCGGAGAACAGAATCAGGAGTTTAATTTTAGCAAATAGTTTGCCCAAAGCATGTTGTAGTGTACTTGTTTTGCAATACCCCTGAGAGCCAAATTATGTACTCATAAGCACATTTCCATTCAAACTATTTAAATTTTATTTAAAAAAATAAAATAAAATAAATGAAAAAAAATTACTATTTGGGAACAGCCCAGTATAGCTATCTGTGAGTCATGATGACAAAAGTAATTTCTGGTTGTATAAATTAACATTAGTTAATCTATAATGAATGAATATGAATTAATGAACTATAGTGTATTTAGAAATTAACTAAAAAATGTTATTAAATTATTATTATTTAATTATTAAACTCATTATTAAATACTTGTAAAATGTTGCTCATTGTTAGTTCAAGATAATGCATTAATGAATTTCTGCAAAACAGCTATTAACCTTATTACAGAATTTAGTTTTTATTGTGTTTAAAAAATTGTTTAATAAAAAATAATTTAGCATAAACACTTGTTTGATCATAGTGTATGATAAAAGTCTATTTGACTTGTGGGGAAAATCCTTACAAAAAAAACAGTACCAAAATAAGCAAATTGACAATAACAATATACATTTATGGGAGGTCCTCAAAAGTATAGGTGTATAAATTTGCTGCCTGTGTGTGCAGCTGTGGGAAAGTATTGTCCACCCTTGCAGCAAAATAAACACTGTTCAGTTAATAAATCCTGTCTAATGAGTTTCCCGAGAACATCAGATCTCACAAAGCCACCGCAGGGTAAAATACACAGCAGCTCCATATAACACACACACACACACACACACACACACACACATATGTCTAGCGTGTCTCTGGACTGCAGCACTTCGCGTGACACAATGCGATACCAGACTTCATTCGTCCCAATGGAAAGCGTAATTACACTTAATCGTTCCCTATCCCCCGTGCAGAGGTCCCCAACCACCGGGTCGTGACCCACTACCGGGCCGTGGAAGAATTGCTACCAGGTCGCAAGAACGTTCTGGGAAAATGTGTAGCCTATAGATATGAATATGATCATATTACACTCTGTTATTTATTGCGTTAATGATTGTTCTAATTATTCTGTATTTTCGTTGTATGCAATTGATACGTTAAATTAGTAAATGAAAGCTTGCTCTGATCTGTTGATCTGTGATTCAGACAGACCAGACCCCACTGTTTGACACGCATGTTATTTAGAGATTAATTTGCCAGTTTACACGTTCAAGCAATTTTAAATTTCTTGTTTCATGCTTATCCGAAAAATCATCCGATCTGTGACTCAAAAACCACAATATATATAATATATATAATTTATTTATATCCCCCCCACCCAACCAACACCACCAAACTATCGGTATCGGTAGATATCATTCTGAGTTATCGTATCGGTTGAGAAAAATCTTTTAATTTTTAACTAATTAAAGGTAATTTTTAACAAATATTATGAAAGTCACACCACATGATATTTTACATCCTGACATCCTCTGAAGATCCTCATCACTGTCCATCAAGTTTCTTATCAGATAATTTTACCTTTTTATGACATGGCATGGTTAGTTCAGTATCATGGTGTGTCACTCCCCCCAAAATAAATGATATTTATGGCCCCACGTTATATTACGTGGCCTTAACTACTATGTACTTACATCAAAAATTAAGTACAATGTACTTATTGTGTTCATATTGTATTGCAAAACACTTTTGCTGCTATTAAAGTGGGATACGGGTAAGGTTAGGGACAGGTTTGTTAGTATGGGTAGGTTTAAGAGTGGGTTAAGGTGTAAGGGATGGGTCAACTGTGTAATTATAAATGTAATTACAGAAATTAATTACAGATGTAATTACATGCAGGTATTTTTAAAATATAAGTACAATGTATGTACACAATAAGTGCATTGTACCAAATTATTAATTTAAATGTAAGTACATAGTTGTTAAGGCCACTTAATATAAAGTGGGTCCATATTTATTAACTAATTATTCCTATGTGCAATAATTCAAATCCATTGTATTTAAATGAATGAATGAGTAAATGAATGATTGAATACCTGTAAAAATATGTAAAAGTTGTTTAGGGAAAAAATCAAGATGTGTACACTCATATGTATTCAGAAAATGATGTTATTGTTCTACTTTTTACTAATGATATTTTTGAGTCATTAAATGTAAGGTTTTCTTGTAAATGATAATAGAATTTCTCAAAAACCAACATGAATACAAAGATTTTGGCATGTGTTTTACACTAGATTTTAGAAGATATTTCCTTGTCTTTATCATAGACACTTTTATTTGTCATTGACCCACATGCAAAATTCAGATGTTGACTTCACATGAACCACTACAACATATAACACACACACACACACACACACACACACACACACACACACACACACACACACACTGAGTTACACAAGATCACAATGCCATTTAATTAGAGTGGAAAGAGCACCGGAAGGAAAGAATTATAACTAAAAAAATAAAAAAATAGTCACAGGAGGATCCCTACAGAAATATCCCCCAAACACACATATGCATGTTTAGTTACATAAGTAGGGACATACAATGATTTTTATTGCTTTTATATTAACCAAATTATAATGCTTCAGGCTAAGCCTAAAAGAAACCTTTTTTGCATTTTAGAATAAAATTAAATATTCATTATTCATTTTCAAACTATAACATACCCTGCGGTATAGATTTCACAAAATTTTTATTAATCTTAGTCATTATTAAAAAAACAGCTGTGAGATATAGATGTGCAATCTGTTCTGTCCGTTATACTATTGCGTACTAGGGTGTCAATCATTCAGCTGATGCAACATTGAAAATATGTCTTCCCAGAACATTCTAGTGGTAGAGAAGTCTGGAAACATGGATTGTGTAAATTAAATGTGACATAGTACCCTGAGACAGTACAATCTGTTGAACGAACTGTACTGTATTAGACCCAGTATCAGTCTGTTTTTCAAGCTGTCTCATCCACGCTTCACTGCAGCTCACGTTAGAGGTCAGTAAGCATCCTAGCCAGTGGTTAAATCAGGATCACTTGCAACAAAAAGGACTCATATTGAATTTGACATTGCTTTGATAGATTGAAATGGAAGCTTTAAACTCCACAAAGCTGAAGGTGATTTATTAGTTTGATGCTGTTTAAGGTAGTTTTTATGGCATTGCTAAGTAGTTGCCTTTGAGAGGTTGTTGGTAGCTGGTTGGTTGGTTAAAAAAAAGTAAATAAATAACTGCGTGTACAGACGTTTTGTTATTTATCTGTCTATCTTATCACCAGCACAGACCAAATTCTGACCCAGTATGAAAGCAAATGCATGTTTTTTTGTCTGAAGTGTGTTTTAACATGTAAATGTGTTGAAAGATCATGAAGAGCACCATCCACACAACACCAAAAAAACAAATCAGATGCACTCTTTACACTTATGTGGCATGACAACAGAGAAATTACCTGGAAACATTGGCACTGCACAATCTCTGCAAAAACGCTCTGATTAAGCGAGACAGCATGTACAGTCAGACAGTATCGCAGGGATAAGACATACATGTGCTAGGATTTGATTTATTCCCTCAATCAGCTTTCATTTCCCCGCTTGGCTACTGATACTTTCAAAGGTACATGGGAAGGGAAATAACGCATCCATTGACCTGCAAACAGATTGGCCGGAGTGCAGGAGGAGGAGCCAAAGGGAGAGAGAAAGGGATGAACGAATGAAGGTTGCAGAGAGAGGGACGGAGCACTAGTTGGGATGGGAAGAGCTGGGAGAGGAGATCTCTAATAATAGCACTGCAGGGAAGCAAGATCGTGCAGAGAAAAAAGTGGTACATGCAGCAAAGCGAATCATGCCGACGCAGAGCAATGAAAGAGTGCGATGGAGCGAGAGCGGGGAAAGTTGAAAACACATGCTCTGCTTTCCTGCACGCACAATAGGAACAGCGTAAAGGGGGAAAAGACAAATAGGAAACACCAGGAGGAAGACGTTCTCAATGCAAAGGAATTACGACCTCGAGAAAACCCTCTCATTAGACATCTGTGACCTCTGAAGTTCTTGTGTTTTTGTGAGCACAGCTGTTTAAGTTAAAGCCTTTCAAATGGCAACTTTGGACACATGCAGCTTAAGTTGCAGCGTGTGTGAGTGTGTGTGAAACATGCCCTCTGCTCGGCCTTCATCCGATGATGCAGAGGTGTGAGAGCCATGAATCCGAGGTCCAGCGAAGCCCCTCATTGGACAGCACAGAGTCAGAATTCACCCGGGCGGCCCGTCGGGGTCACCGCCTGGCCTTGGGGGCCTTCTATGGCTCCCGGGGGTCAAATGTCAAAGATCAAACGGCACAGAGTGACGGTGCCATTGTCGCCGTCCCGCCTGGAGGGAAGCCTCAGGATAAGCGCGTGTCTGCCGGTGGGAAGTACGTTGTGTTTTACCTGGACTTGTCATTTGTGTTGCTCCTAGAGTTCGAGAAGCTGAAGATGGCTCGTGGATGCCTGTGCTGTGTCAAATACATGATGTTCCTCTTCAACCTGCTGTTCTGGGTGAGTATCAAAGTACAGCATGAATTATCCACACTTACTTGTTGTCAAAATGCGTTCTCTTGTCAAAGATTAATGTGCAGAGACTGCTATAAGTAAGCTGTTTGTACAATGATTTCCCCAAAAAGTGAGCATGGTGTCTCTGTGGGGTTTTGAAAACAATGCGCTGTTTGTTTGAATGGTTTAACAATGTTTGTTTCTGGCTCAGCCATGTGAGCTTGGGGCAGATCATTAGCGATGTTCGCTAAGGCGAGCATCACTATTATTATTGCTCATATGTGGGGTTGGAGAATTGTGTGAATCCATAATCCTAAATAGCAACTCTAAAGAATTAAAGGAATAGTTCAGCCAAAAATGAAAATTTGCTTAAATTTTACTCACCCTCTGGCCATCCAAGGTGTAGATGATTTTCTTTCTTTATCTGAAAAGATTTGGAGAAATGTAGAACATTTACATCTTGTGTTCACCAATTGATCCTCTGCAGTGAATGGGTGCCGTCCACAAGTAATCCACACAACTCCAGTCCATCAATTACCATCTTGTGAAGTGAAAAGCTGCGTGTTTGTAAGAAACAAATCCATAATTTTAAGATGTTTTAACCACTGCTTTTGCATAAAATATGAGTCCTTAATCCATTGTTCTTTTTCCAGTTAAAATGTTCTCGTCAGAATCAAGAGAGAAATATGCACAAATCAAGCACTGTTTATAAGCAAAAAAAGTTCAAAACAGCTCTAAACAAATATGTTGGTGGATTTTGATGTGAGAGGACAAAACAGGAAGGATTACTTGTGGATTATTGTGATGTTTTTTTTTTTATTTGGACTCACATTTTGATGGCACCCATTCACTTCAGAGGATCCACTGGTGAGCAAGTGATGTAATGCTAAATTTCTTCATTGAAATCTGTTTCAATGAAGAAACAAATTCATCTACATCTTGGATGGCCTGAGGAGGTTTACATTTTGGCAAAATTTTAATTTTTGTGTGAACTTCTGAACCAGAGAACTTTTTTTTAAACAGTTGGATTTTCATATGAATGATTGTCCGATGCATGCAGTGTGGGATAATAAGATGCGTGGTGTTTGTGTTTTCTGCGTATACTATGTGTTTATTTTCCCATGCTGCACTCCTCAGGGTCCCACAATAACGAAATTATCAGATAAAATACAAATAGCAGTTTTAGCCTACAAAAAATCATAGATATTAATTAAATCCCAAGTCATGGAAATTGCTAGAGAAATATTTTTCTAGTATTGTTCAGCTGTAAAATACATCAGTGGCTAGAAAATGGTAGTTGTGAATGCAGTCTGTATAAAACGGTTTCTAAAGATGCCAATAAATCATAAACACTTAACTCAGAAATCAGTCTGAATGGGTATGACGCACCTGGTAATAACTGTAGCATTTTGGTAAAAATTGATACCACAGTCAATGTTTGTGAACATGTCACGCATGTGTGTGCTGCAATGAGAGGCAAGGAGGGAAGTAGGTTCATCACGAGGTGTTAAATGCTCTTAGATCAAAGGCAGTAATACATATTCATCTGAACTAGAGCACTCAAACAAATCCCCCCGCCTTTTCATTCTAACATGTCTTATAGGCCTCCAATTTAACTTTCAGTCATCTGTGTCTATGTTGTTGTTGTTGTTGTGTAGCTGCAACAGGAAGTCTGTGTCAGATTACGGTTCTGTGAGTTGTGAGATTTCGCTCGTTTGATCTGCTGTGTGTGTTGTTGTTTGTTTGATTCTGAGCCAGTTTAATGACGGAAGCACCAAATCACAAGCAGGAAACTTGAGAAAAAACTCCCGACTGATCTAAAATCTCCCACTGCACACACACCCACATATACACCCATATAATGATGGAAAAGGGAAGATAAAAGAATAAGGAAATTATGTGAAGATTGCAAATGCCTGAAGATTTTACACTGTACACTTTAAACAGCAGGGCGGAGAGGGAATAAAAGAAAGATGGAGGAGTGAGATAGAAAGAAAGATAAAAGTAATTTGAAAGCTTTATATAGAATTACTTTGAGATGGAATGGTTTGTCAAAGCGGTAGTGTGGTTTTCTTTTGCTTCACTGGAATTTAATTTCGGAGTTCAGTTTTCCATTGAAGAGAAATTACATATCTCTTTTGAATTACAAGGTTTACAGAGGCGTTCAATAAAGTCTTCTCAGAACATAATACAAAAACGCTTGATCTTGCTGCTTATGTGAGAGACAGTTGATGTATTGTGTGCATTTTTATTATATTTTTATATGGAATGTAAATGGGGTGGTAATGATGTTTCTGAGTGGAGTTGAGGAGGTGTTTTAGGTCACTGGTAATCTGTATTTCATGTGCTTGACATTACTGAGCCTGATGGCTCTCAGCTCCATGTTTAATACATGAGTCAGAAAGTTTAGGCCAGACTCACTTCACTCTGCACAAGGTCACAAACACACAGTACACTTATTAGTGGGTGTGAGGTCAGTTTTGCATGTGGGATCTGTTATTAACATGAACGACTGACTCAACTTTTCTAGATCTTCTGGTATGTTATTTCTAATACTTATTCATCGATGCTGCCTACATTTAGTAAAATGTTCTTTCTTTTGTTTTGCTTTTTTCCTGTCCTTTTCCTTTTTTCCCTTTTTCATTTTTCCTATCATTTTACTTTCATTTCTTATCCTGTTCCTTTGTCATTTCATTTTCTTTTCATTCTACTTTTCCTGCCCTTTAGTATTAAGCTCCTTTCTTTCATTTCCTTTTTTCTTTTCCTGTCATTTTCTATTGATTTATTTTGTCCCTTTCCTTTTTAATTTCCTTTGTTATCCTTATTCCTGTACTGTGTTTTTCCATTTCCTTTCTTGCCCCTTTCTATTCTTCTCTTCTTCACCTTTTCCTTCCTTTCCTATCCCTTTTCCTCTCCGTTATCCTTTTATTTCCTTTTTCATGTCTTTTCTAGTAAACTACTATTCCTTTTTCTCCTGTGAATTCCTTTTCTATTGCTTTTCTTGTGCTTTGTCCTTTCATATTTCCTTGTTTCCATCTTTTTAATTACTTTTCTTTTCCCTGTAATTTTCTATCCATTTCCTTTCTCATTTCCTTTGCTATCCCTTTTCCTGTTATTCCTTTTTTCATTTCCTGCCTGTCATCCTTTCCTTTTCCTTTTCCATTTCCTTATTCTTTTTCTGCCCATTTTCTTCCCTGTCCTTTTCAGATAATTTCTTTTCTTTCTATTACTTCTTTTCATATCCCTTTCTTGTCGTTTGTTTCCCTGTGTTTACATTTAATATCTTTTCTTTCCTGGGCCAGTTCCATTCTTTTGATTTTACCTATCCTTTCCTTTTTTCCCCATGTTTATTTCTTGCTTTTTCTTATACCTTGTTCCCATTGTTTTCTATTTATTTTCTTTGCCTTTTCCTGCCCTGTTCTTTTTCCTTTCCTTTCCTTTAATTTCCTTTCCTTTCCTGTCCTGTGTCCTTTTTAGCCCAGTTCTTTACTTTCCATCCTGACCCAACTTCCCTGCTTCTTCTCAGTCCTTTCCTCAGTCTCCTCTTCACGCACCTTGATTGTGTTGATTGCTACTACTTCAGACCATTTATCTAGTAAATGCCTACCTCGGTCTATGTGTGTTTGAATGCAGTGCACTGTAAAGAAAACCTCTCAAACGAATAGTCCCCCAATTTGAAATGCAGGATTAGATTAAGAACAAACCCATTATGTAGGATTTTCCAAAGGCAGAGAGAATAGATTGAATTCAATTTGTTTGTGTGCGTCTTCATTCTGGTTGTGCGTCATGAATACTAAAATTTAGGTTAAAAGCTGTCTGCTCCTGTGGACAGAATAGTCTTACTCTGTGCTCTTCCTGTTTATGTTTTATTCTGTTATTTTCTTGTTTGTGTGCTCTTTGGCTTATTTTTCATGCTTGCATTTGCTCCCTAATTATTTCCTCGCAGAAATGACTTGCAGACTTGCTCTGACTTGCTCTGCTGCTCCTCTCTTTCTCTCTCTCTCTCTCTCTCTCTCACACACACACACACACATACCTGTTTTATCTCTTATTTTTCGTACTCATCATTTTCCAAGTACAAGGGTTCTGTCTCATTTCAGATTCTTCGTGGTTCTTAGTGATTCTCAGAGTGCATGCTGGGTATTTTCTCAAGGGAACTGAATGACACAGCTTTTCACCTTCAGTTACACTCAAAAGAACAGTGTGTGGGGAGCCAGACCGCTGCACTGTAGGGCATACCTCGCAATGACACACGTTATGTGAGGAAGGATTAACAGAGAACATCTTGCCCTTCTAAATTATTAATTTAAAAATCATAAAAATATTTCGTAATATATTTTACTTATATATTCATATTATCCATATTTAAACATATTTAATCTTTAAGAACACTAGTAATTTAATAACAGTTTAATATAATCTTTTATGTATGTATATATACAGTATATATATATATATATATATATATAATATACTGTATATTATATAATGCTATCATGTTATAATAAATGTAATTATGAAAATAAACGTAAAAAACGTAATACTTAACAAACGTTAACAAACGTCCATTTTTCATATAATGTTCATATAAATGATCCAATTTTCATGTAATATTCAATACATTTTTTCTATGTTGTGATGCTTAAATTTGCATGTAGTATTTAAAACAAGTGATTTTAGTTTTTAATTAATTATTTTAGTTTTTATGTATATAGTTTTTTAATATTTATTATTTTTCCTATTCATTTGTACTAAATAGTCTTAATTTACGCATAATAGCGTAACATCAGATATTTATTGGTCATCAGCCATAACATGGAAATAATTATCAGTTAATCGTTCTGGCCAATTTAAATATCCATGCATCTTTACTCTTGAGTCAGAGTGTAAAATAAATATAGCTTTATCTTACTGTGAAGTGTTATATACAAATGTGAACTTGTAAATCAACAAATGGCTTACTTACAGTATAGTTGACTCTACATGGTAAATTGGGATAAAACAATGAAAGCATTTGTACATTTATTGTATAAAATAAAATTTTGCAGGTAGAGATGTACCATCTTGTGCCGTAAATACAGCATTATCTGGTTTTCTGTTTGGAGCTGGTCCAGGTGTGTTTGCTAACTTTCTCCTTTTGCCTGGCCTTTAGCAGACTGGACTACTTTTACATTTCGGTTACCTGAGCATGAAATTACAAGAGTTTCTCCCCAACAAACATACCTTCTACTCTCCTACGATCTAGACACACGCAAAATTCACACTTCATTACTTAACAACAACCTTCATTGCGGTTCAAATTAGCATTTATATTGCTCTCACAGCAGGGAGAGCTGACACAGGTATCGCTTTGTTGGTCAGGCATGCGCACACATACCTATCTCAGTCCTGAAACAGTAAGTACACCTTACCTTGAGTGAACTTGAGTTCAGAAAGTGCCTCTCAGGTCCTCCTGAGACCTACTGACTTCGGTGGATGAAACCGAAGACTCAGTTTTACACTTTGGGACACGTAAAAACCTGAAGAAACACTGTCGAACTGAATGTTTATGCGTGTTTGATCCATAATGAATGAGTTTCTGTGAGTTTATTAACGTGAAACGCTCTCCACTGTCTGTCTCTCCTCAGTTGTCGGGCTGCGGGTTGTTAGGTGTGGGCATATGGCTGTCCGTTTCTCAGGGCAGTTTTGCCACCTTCTCCCCGTCCTTCCCCTCCCTATCAGCCGCCAATCTGGTCATTACCTTGGGCTCTGTCGTCATGGTAACGGGCTTTCTTGGTTGCCTCGGTGCCATCAAGGAGAACAAGTGCCTGTTGCTGAGTGTAAGTCGACACCTAAACTCCCACAATGCACACTGCATACGGAATGTATTGTTAATGCAGGGTTATTTTAAACCTGGGTTAGTGTAATCCTGGATTGTCAGGTTTTGAGATTTAACATTTGCAAATTCTTTCTAAATTATGCATGTTCGGTTTTAATACAATCCTCTCTGGTTGTCTTCCAAAAGTAAACTACAAAAAACTTCATACTTCATCACTTCAGCTGTCGCTGCATTTTTAACTGTTCTTCTCAGGCGCTGAAATGAAAGTTTCCATTATGCTACAAAGCATATGAATAGTTCATTGTTTAGTTGAGGGAGTCACAAAAACAGTTTTAGTCAGCCAAACCTCTTTGACATAAAATAATTACTTAAGTACCCCCTGAAATTTTAAGTTAATATTTAAGTAGTTCACCAACATATTCTTATGTTGATTCTCTGATTTCAGTTAATGGTTACATTTTATGATAAGTGCTTTATTTAGAATGTTTTATTTTGCACTTTTATGGTTTAATTAATTAGTAGCTTTTCATCCATTTCTGAACACTGTGCAGTTCCCTCCCAAAACCTAGGTTTTGAAAATCTAGTTTCTGATAAATATGCCACGTTGTTTCTGTATAGGCACTGTAGTTTGGGTGTTGCTCTGATGTTTTTTTTTATTTTTTATTTAACACAGATTTAAAAGCAGTGCTTACCTTCATTCGTAATTACTTACAAATTAAGATATTTTTTATGAAATCCGAGAGCTTTCTGACCCTGCATAGACAGCAATGTAACTGAAATGTTCCCAGACCCAGAAATGTAGTAAGGACATCGTTAAAATAGTCCATGTGACATCGGTGGTTCAACTGTAATTTTATGAAACTACAAGAATACTTTTTGTGTGCAAAAAAAAGACTTTATTCAGCAATTTCTTCTCTTCTAATCAGTCTCTGCTGCTATTCATGAGAGCACTATAACGCATGACTGGAAGAGAAGAAATTGTTGAATAAAGTCATTATTTTTGTTTTCTTTGCTCAAAAAAAGTATTCTCGTAGCTTCATAAAATGACGGTTGAACAACTGATGTCACATGGACTATTTTAACGATGTCCTTACTACATTTCTGGGTCTGGGAACATCTCAGTTACATTGCTGTCTATGCAGGGTCAGAAAGCTCTCATTTCATCAAAAGATGATGGAGAGTGTAGGAGTGCAGAGAAAGGCTGCGCAGCTGAGATGCTGCGAGTGGGAAACAAAGCATCCTCATTTCCACATTCAAACAGCTTCCATTGTCATGAATAGTGCAAAAACATGCTTTATCCCACTCGCTTGTAATTTCTGTCAGCCTTTGGGCAACACTTGGTTAGTTTTATTTTATTTATTTATTTATTTTTCTATATGTATTGATTGATTGATTGATTGATTGAGAGAGGGGGTAATTTTTGGCCTGACTTTACATAATCCCACTTATTACAAGGCAATGCACTAAATAAATAAAACTGAATATATATACATGTGTGTGTGTGTGTATATATATATATATATATATATATATATGTGTGTGTGTGTGTGTGTGTGTGTGTGTGTATACAAACTTAGTATTGTTGGATATGAATAGTTTACTTTCTTTACTGTCTTTTTTCTTGTAGTTCTTCATTGTTTTGTTGATTATTCTGCTGGCAGAGCTGATTTTGCTCATCCTTTTCTTTGTGTACACGGACAAGGTACAGTATGAACAACAAGCATCACACACACAACCTCAATCTATCTATTACACACACACACACACACAAACACAGAACTAACCACCCACCGCACACAGACTTTCATTACCCACTCGACTCCTGACAACAGCAGCCCACACACCTGCTCTTCTGGTTTACGCTCTCAGTGTTCTTAAATTTTTCTTCATTTCCAAAAATCGACTCTGTAACTCATATTCGGATTACAAATGCTTCATGTGACTTTAAACTTTTCTGCAGGTGAGCGAGAACGCTAAGCAGGATCTGAAAGATGGCCTGAGGCTCTACAACACGGACAATAACATCGGCCTCCGCAATGCCTGGAACATTATCCAAGCTGAGGTGTGTGTGAATGAGTGCAGGTGTGATATAGGGTCATCATCAGTGACAGTAATGGCGGGTCACTGTGAGTTCAGATAGTTGATTGAGCCACATCTTATCCGCAGCTGCTCTCCACAGAATTATGGAAGATAACTCATGAAGCCCTCCAGTACTGAACAATATGCAGGCGTCTGCAGAAATTTTCTTTGCTCGGTGTGTAAATGATGAATCTGAATATTCACTCTGTCTCTCAGTGGCAGTGTTGTGGCGTTACTGGGCACACAGACTGGCATGATGCCCTGCAGGAGAAAACAGTTCCAGACAGATGCTGCCAGGAACACTATAGAGAGTGCGGTCGCAATGCCACTAACGTCTTCTGGTCACAGGTACAGCTGGATATTTGATTTGATTTCATTTTATTTTATTCACTACTCTTATCTAAATTTTCTTTTTATTATTTTATTTGAGTAGTTTCTCCAATTTAAATTTTATTTTAATAGTTTCTCTGATTTGTATAGTATTTTATTTTATTAATATTTTATTTTATTTAAATAGTCTCCAATTTAAATTTATTTAATTTAATATTTTCTTTGCTTTGGTTTATTTTATTATTATTTAAATAGATTCTTTGGTGTAATTTTACTTTATTTAATTTTATTGCATTGCACTGCAAAAATGCAGACTAGCTAGACTCATTTCCAGCAATAAAACTGATTGTTTAAGTAGATGTGTTAGTTATTGTATTATTTTATGTTAATAGTTTCTCAAATTTAATTTAATTTTAATAGTTTCTCTGATTGGTATTGTATTGTATTTTAATAATATTTTATTTTATTTCAATAGTCTCTAATTTAAATTTATTTTATTTTATTTTATTATATTACTTTATATTTTATTATGATTAGTTTCTTTGGTGTAATTATATTATATTATATTATATTATATTATATTATATTATATTATATTATATTATATTATATTATATTATATTATATTATATTATATTATATTATATTATATTATATTTATAATACTGTATTTACATAGTACAGCAAATATAAACAGTAGTTAATACAAAATGAGTATTGTAGTTTTGTATTGTATTTGATGAGATTTTTCTATTTTTGTTAGTGTTAGTAGTTTAGTTTAGAATTTAGAAATTTACTGGGCCAAGTCGCCCTAATTGAGATACAGTATATAGTCATAAATATTTCTGTGATCATCCAGTTTAATAATGTAACTATTTTATGCTTAAATAGTTTTAATGTTGTTAGCTACTTGCTTATACTGTAGATAAGTACTTAAAATATAGATAAATATAGTGTGACTATAGTTTAGCTACTTTAAATTCTGAATGTGGTGCACATTGTAAATTTTCAGAATTTATAAACAGTTTCAATAGCCTTCCCAGCATTATAATGTTACTACACACTTCTACTTTCTGACTCTCAGGGTTGCTATGAGAAGGTTGAGGAATGGCTGAACGACAACAAACATTTGCTCGGAACCATCGCGATGTGTGTGCTGGTCTTGCAGGTACAAATATTACGATTAGACTCATCCTGGAATGTTTTGGAAAACAGCTTTGCCTCCAATGATGTCACATCCTGTTTGATGCACATCCACGCTGAAGTCATTTTCTCTGTTCTGCAGCTGCTCGGGATGGCATTCTCCATGACCTTGTACCAGCAAATCCACAGGGCGGGAAAGAAGTATGATGCCTAGACGAAACCCAGTGTTAAAGAAAAAAAAACACTTTCGAAGCACCTAATGTATTATTTCAAACCCTGCTTCATGCCATCACAAACTATTACCAGTGAAAATGAAACTGACTTTTTTTTTGAGTCTATCAGATTTAATTATGTAGAACAGACTGTAGATATTTTTGCTAGGCTGCTGAGTGGCAAATTTTAAAAATTTTTTTGGCCTGAGGTTTAACAGCAACTGTAAGATGAAAACTAATGAAGGGAAAGCATTGTGAGAAGCAATTATGGATGTTTGCAGCCGGTTTTAGAAATAGTCTGTTAGCGTATGAACTGTACAAAAATGCCCACATGATGTAAAATCGGATTTTGGAGATCTGCAACGCTCATAAAAGGATACATTCACTATTTCTTTATTGGACACTTGTGTACATGTAGACACAGTTCCCATTGCTGATGTAATATATCAATCGCATGCTGTGTATATTTCACATTCACATAAATGTACTGTATAATTGAACACAAACAATCCTGATGACTTAAGTGTTAGGAAGATTGGGGTAAGATGTGTCACCTCCTTAATCTACCAAAAAATGCAATTGTTTTTGTCAGATTATCAAAGTATTCAGAAAGGCTTTAATTGTTTTTGTTATATAAAATATAAAATGAACATGTGAAAATATATAAAATTTAAAAAATATATTATTTATTATAAATATATTAATTATAAAATATATTTTTTAAATGATATATATATTTATGTGTGTGTGTAAAATAGTTTATAAATAAATTACATAAATATACACATTATTTTCTAAATTTTGGCTTCAAATATTCAGATTATTTTAAAGGTATTTCTGTCAATTTCATATTTGAAAAGTGTCACAGCTTACCCCATTCTCCCCTGCTTTCATTTGTTGGAAGTATGAATGTGTTTATATGTTCTATGTATGAGAGAGAGAGTCTGGGCTAGTCATCTGCTCGCTCTGGGGCTTTGTGTCCTGGTGACTCTCTTCTCATATCTGTCTCTGTTTTCTCGCTCACTGATCTTTTCAAAGTGCATCTGTACTGCTGGGAGGCAAACGAGCTGTCCTACTCCACCTACCGTCAGGGAAGAGAGGGAGATGAGATCAAAGGATGCAGGATATAGAGGTTAGGAAATAGAGGGGGAGAAAGACCTAATAACGGCCTCTCTTGAAAACAAACAGTATCATGCAATGGCACCTGAATGCATGCAATGAGAGTTAACTTACAAGCCATAACCTCGGCGAACGGTTTGTCGCTCCTGTCATTTTCCTAAAATACATTCCTACTCAGTTTGTGAGTGCTATAGGTATATTTTGATCCACAGATTAAATAGTTGCATCATTACAAAGTATTGAATTATCAGGATAATTTATTACCAAGCGACATATCTGCATTACTGTTTAACAAACATATTATTTTGAATAAAAAGAAAAAATGTTTTAAATAACTTGTTCTTGCCTGACATGAATATTACAAAATATCTGCCTCCAAAAACTAGGTAAAATATGCCATATTCATATTTCAGCATACATTACAGTTAAGCAGTGGCGAGCTGAATAAAAATAATGATTTTTAGGTAATACATTGTTCAGACGTTAAATTAATGCATATTAGTGCCCAGTTTTATGTATTTTTTATGCTAATATTAGTGAGTGCAAACTTAATTTGTCTATTGGCTGTCTCGTAGATCTCACACCATGGGATATTCAGATAATTGGTCCCTTTCTCAAACTTGTGGACTTGCTCTTGTACATTTAGGAGTCATCAATTTTTTAGGTAACCAAGGAATAATACAGGCGAGTCACATCTTGTGTTTACATATGGTGTTACAATATTTAGCATTTTTGTAATTCATTATAAGTCATTTACTTTAAAGAGACTAGACATTTACTTTATGAAGTATCTTTTAGTGAAATGCTGTTCAGCGAACAAGGAATGTTCTCAGAACTTTTGGCATTTTTCTAATTATTACAGAGCATTCAGAACATTCAAACGTAACATTCCGATAATGTTTGGAAAAATGTCAAACGGAATGTTCCTTTAAAAAAAAAGGTTCGAAATGGACATTTTGAATGTTCAGAGAACATTCAGAAATAATGTTTTTAAAATGCGAATGTTAGCAGAATGTTCTTATGATCTGGTCTGGTGTGTTTTTCTGTATGCTTAACACACTTGCTCCGTGTTTAAAGCGCTCTTCAAGTTTATTAAAGCATAAACAGAATCAGGGAGTAAAACAAAACATATTTCAACGTAACTTTATACAGCTCGAAATACAATACAAATACAAAATACAAAGTAGAAAACGGTATTGTCTCTTGTTCTCCTCAGAGGAGAGATGTGGAGAGAGGACGGTCCTCTCTGTAATACATGAAGGAAGGGCCTTTCTTCTCTCTTTTAGATCTGCTGTGTGATGTTTGGCATTGAGAAGAAACTAAAGAAGCTCTGTGTAGCGGTAAGACTCTGTCTCCATCTGTTGGCCAACCACTAGATATAATTGCATGAATGCTAGTGGGTGAAGAAGCAGAAAAAATATACCTTAAAAATTAAACATTCTTATATACACATACCAGCAAACATACAGTTTTTCAGGCTCATTTTGCAGTATAGTGATTCAATTGTTCACACACACCATGATGCAAATGTGTCTCTGATGCCCCTGTGTCTGTGGGTGACATCATGGGTGTATGCTTAGTATATTGTGATGTGTTTCAGAAAGCAATGCTTTGTAACTTTTGTCATGTTTTAGCGGTATATATGTGATACAGTTACTTTATGGGGCTAATTTTATTTGACCTAGAGAGATTTCCTGCTTTTTGACTCACAACACATTGTATTGAGACCCTACAGAGATATGTTCTCAGACATTTGACGGGGGACGGCTGGAAATATTAAGAAACTGAAGCAGGAGTGTCAAAACACTGAAAACTCCATGAGTGTTTGTCTCTTTCTCTCCGTCAGTAGCGGCCCTCTTTTTTCCAGTTATCCCCAAACCCATCTCTCTGACTGAGAAGACTTCAGCTGTACTGACTCGCTGTTGTCTCTGTCTCCCTGCAGCCAAGCAAAGGTAAATAAAACATCAGATGAAAACAAAAAACTATACAAAATTTATTGCAGTTAAGCTCAATAAGCATCTGTGGCATGGTGATTACCACAGAAAATATGTTTGGATCATCTCCAAGTTATTGCGGAAGCCTTAGAGGCCGTGCATTATTTTTTAATGTCTTGTTTTTTACTTTCTCATGATCTCAACTTAGCAGAAGTTGTTTTTTGAGGTCTTGTTTCTGTTTTAACAAAAGCCATTTCTGCACCATACACAACCATTCAAAAGTTTGGGGTCGGTAAGATTTTTTGATGTTTTTGAAAGGAGTTCTGCTAACCTAGTCTGCATTTATTTGATAAATACAGTAAATATTATTACAATTTAATATAACTGTTTTCTATTTGAATATATTTATTCCTGTGATGCAAAGCTGAATTTTTTGCATCATTGCTCCAGTCTTCAGTGTCACCTGATCCTTCAGAAATCATTCTAATATTTGATTTGGTGCTCAAGAAAATTTATTTTTATTATCAATGCTGAACAGTTGTGCTGCTTAATATTTTGGTAGAGACCATGATACCATTTAAATTCAAAAGAACAACATTTATTTGAAATAAATATATTTTTTAACATAAATGTCTTTACTGTGACTTTTGATGAATTTAATATGTCCGTTCAATTTCTTTAAAATAAAATCCCCAAACTTTTAATTGTGCACTGTATAGAGTATATACTACTATATAATGGGTGAACAAATTTGCATTGGTTTTAATGAAAAATATTAACTTATCTTTATTATATAATATTACTGTTTGTGGCAAGCTTGTGTTGTGCCACCAGTAATTAATTTATTAATAATAAATTACACTGATATCATATGATATCCATGTATGTCCACTAGCTATATCCATAAGTACATTATTCACTTCAATTAATATAAATTGAACATATTAACAAATAATTTTGGAATGGCATCAAGCTCACAACAATTAACTGACCTTGCTTGCGATAGCTTTCAGTTTACCCAGTAACGAAGGAATATTTGAGTAAACAACATCGTCCTCATTCTCCTCCCCTTCTCCCTCTGCTAATGCACAGCTGTCCGCTGCTGGCAACTCACAGTCCTTATTGGTCGACATCACTAGTCTGGAGTATTTATATTCAAGCCTGTACAAAAAAGAAAAGAGGTCAAAAATCAAAAAGCACTTTTTGCATCTCAAGCTGAATTTCCATTGACAGCTTGTTACCTTTTGTTCTTTTTCCAGAAATAACATGTGAGAGAAACCAAGAGGACGGCCATGAAGGCTCCACCCCCAATTCCGGCCTTCACCCATAGGCTGACCACCTCACAGTGGGCGGAGGTCTTGTTCGGGAGCGGTACCCCTTTGGTGCAAAATTTTGGTTCGTTCCACACATAGAGGGTGTCCTGTTACGAGAAGGATACATGATTAATCAGAACAATGCCGAAGAAATTGTACTAGATGCATTTGTGGAAAGAGATGTACCTGCACTCCTCCTTTGCACGCTCCTTCTATCGAATGGTAGTCGGTTCCAGTGCAGAGAGGACAAGCGCTAGAGCTCTCCCAGAGGAAATGAAACTCACAGCCATTACATGTACCTGCTGGGCACTTGCTAAACACACAATTAAGAAGTGCTTTTTTGTGATTAACATTACCACATTGTCTTTCCTTCAAGCAATTAAAATTGTTTGTAAATGTACGTAATCAGTCTGACAATTTTTGTGGCACATTTCAGTGCATTTCGAACCCAACTCACTCTCAAAATCAACATTTCTCATTTCACACACAGAAAAAGTGTAAATGCAAATCTACAAACATTGAATATTCATTGCATATTTGCAATTGGCCTACAAACATTTGAATGCTATGTATTAGCATTTATATTAATAGCGGTGTTTCACTCATGGGTAATATTTCAGCTGTTGAGCTTCGATGATAATTCACCATATACAAAGAATGCAAATCATGCAAATTTGAAAAATGCAAATTTTTGTTTTATTAAAAAATAAATGATCCATAAAGATACTCAGCTATGCACATTTTAATCACATTTTAATAAAAAATTCAATGCGTTTAACATATTTAATATGTTAACTTGGTCCTAAAATACATACGTTTGTGAACAAATACAGATAATAAGCATAGAAATACACGCACCTAGGCACAGTGAGCTCTCCGCGTGCACTCTTCTCAGGATTGCAACGCAGAGTCACGACTGTGCTCCGGCCGTTCAGACAGGATGCTGTGGGCTGTGGAGAGCTGAGGTGAAAAAAAAAATGTTTTGTATTATAAATTAAATATCCTTGCACACATCAACTACCTATTTTAAACAAGTTCATCTTTCTTTATTTACCGATAGAAGAAGTTGATATCTGGAACTTTCCATGAAGACTCAGGGAAGAGGTCTGAGCTGACAGTGACCCCATCCAGATTTTTGTGAACAGAAGCTCCTGAGAAATGGAAGAATTAAGGAAATGAGACGAGTAAGAAATTAGAACACCTCTGTTTTGAAGGGAGCTAAACACAAAAGTGCCATGTAAAACAACTTTATTGTAGATTAGAGGTGGCCAAATTTCATATATATTCTCTGTATTTCAATGCAAAAAAGATGATTTCTGAAGGATCATGTGACACTGATGACTGGAGTAATGATGTTGCAAATTCAGCTTTGCATCACAGGAATAAATTACATTTGAAAATATATTAACATAGAAAACAGCTATTTAAAATTTTCTATTTTTACTGTATTTTTTTATCAAATATATGCAGCCTTGGTGAGCATAAGAGACTTCTTTCGGGAAAAAATGAACAATCTTACTGACTCCAAACTTCTGAATGGCCATGTATGTTAAATACTGTTAAAGAAATAAGCTCACCAAGGAAAGTGTCAGCCAGGCTGATGGACTGAGACGACAGTGATGGTCTAAAGCCACGTCCATCTGCAGGGATGATGGTCGATTGGCACACAAAAGTCTCGACGAAATTGTTAAGGTCAGCGGATTCATTTTGCAGGTCCTTACTGGACAAATCTGTAACATTGTCAGTGCACACGGCCACCTTCCTCCCCTGCGAGAGAGAACAAAATATGCACTTTGTGATGATCCTAAAAAAACTATTTCTAATTTCTATCAAAGCAATCTATTTTTAGTCAGCTAAAGATAGAGATGTGTGTATGTGAGAGTACCTCAGCCCCACACAGACTGATATTAAACTGGTGGTAGTATTTAGTTCCCTTGGAGGTGAAACTAGGCCCATTCATGATTGACCCCACTGAACTCAAGGCACTCAAGTCGTAGGTCAGCGTTCGTTTGCGATCCATATGCGAGAAGGTGCAGTCGTTAAAACACACAAAGTGCTCCTGGACACATAAAACACACATTTTGCATGTTAAACAGTGTTAAAAGCCAACATAGTCATGCACTACCTCTTGGTTATACTCATACCTTGTTGTTCTTGCTTCCAGGTCCGCAGGGCTGACAGGCCTCCTGGCCATAAATGTGATGCCCAGAGAGGAAAGTGTTGGGCGGGCATTCCTGGCATTGGTTGGTGTCTTTGTTGATGAAGTGTCCAGCGGGACAGGGGACACAGGAAGAGCCGTCCTGCTGACTCATCATAGCACAGGCGTGGCAACCAGACGCTGAGCCATCCATTGCATTAGTCACCGTGATCGAGTAGATCTTTGCAATGTCATTTACATGCTGACGCACCTGTGAGAGAAAGACACCGCGAATGAGGACTTTTCCATGTGACAAAAAGGTACTTAAGACTAATTTCTGTTGTGAATACTTGCATCAGAGGCTTTGTTGGTGCGCTGGAAAGCCCATGTGTACGAAACCGAAGCATTTTTGGTCATGGTGTGGGTGTACGCTTGTCTCGGTTTACTCCCTACCCATGATTCCACAACATTTGTGCTCTTCCTGTTTACGTCCTATGGAGAAAATGCATTGATTTAGTAAATAACTTGCAGATTAATTCACTGTGATGACTGGAATATTATTCTCAAAATGTTAGCACAAAAACATTATTTGTACATCGTTCGTGATACGTTTTTTCTGAAACGTTTTAGATGAACGTTTTTAAATGCTACTACTTCAGAGAACATTCAAAAATAACATTTCCGTAATGCTTGCAAAATGATAAAATAGAATGTTTCCTTACCGTTTGTTTTTTAAAACGTTTTTTGAATGTTCAGAGGACATTCAGAAATAACATTTTCATAACAATAGCAATGCTACATACTACATTTTTCTTTATCGGTGCATACTACTGTTTCACATGCTGTTTTGGTTAAATTATTGTCTTACTATCATAAAAAAGAGTTCGCAGTCTGCGCTGCAGTTGGTCTCGAAGATAAACGTGATTCGGCCGAACTCGGTAGCTGAAGCATCGTTCACAGAAGTAGGAAGTCTGAGAGAGATAAAAAAAAAGAGAGGCCACTTGTAAATGTTCTATGCACAACCAACATTTTAACACTGGAATTGTAGATCTGACTCACTTGAATCCAGGCACTCGTAAATTTAAGATGAGGTAATCATTATCTGAGCCGCCCACTCCGATACGAATGTGGTCGCCAGCCACTTCCCAACCTACAGAAACAAATGTGCATCGGATCATAGAGCATTTACTTCATTGGCCTGTAATGCCGTGTGCATTGGCATACATGCTA